GGGAGCTGCGGTGGCCCGACGACGAGGCAGTGGTGGCGGCAACGTTGGAAGGTGGCGTGCTGCGGGAAAGGTATGTGGGCGAGGATGGCTGGCGAGCGCACAGGAACTGGGCGGCGGCGGCGGGGTGGGGCGACCAAGTGCTGGCTATCAATGGAAGGAAGAGAATGACCTATGTGCCAACTACTGTCGGGCCAGGGCCTCGCTGACGCAAATGAGGCCTAAATTTGGGCTGGGATGGGTCATCCGGCGGATAAAAAGCGGCCCCGCATCCGTTTGGGAAGTTGTTCTAAGTGAGTGAACAATTTAGTGACCTGCACGAGCAAGCAAGGGATACGTAGAAGGTGAAAAAGCAGTCGCTCAAGGGACAGGAATCCTCAAAAGAACACAAAAGAAATGAAGATCTGCGTACGAACATCACCATCGAGCATGTTTGCATACCAGGGAAACTATGGCGAGCACGCAAGGAACAAAAAACCTCTTCATTCGTGCCAGCGCATGCATCTCTTGTATCGACGGGAAACGAGAGAAGAGAAGGTGAACATTACATGACTACCCAACCTACCTACACCGTCGCCAGCAAGAGAGAGGAGAGGGAGGGAGGAGCGGGGCCGGCGCCGGCCAAGGATGGGTCTATCAGGCGCCGTGGAGTGGTGGGACGAGTGGCAGCTGCGCATTCTGGTGCTGGGCAGCCTCTTCGTCCAGTACATGCTCTTCTTCTCCTCCATGGTGCGCAGGTGTGCTCTTCCATCTTGGCTCAGGCTCTTCATCTGGCTTGCATATCTGGGCGGGGATGCGCTAGCGATCTACGCCCTCGCCACCCTCTTCAACCGCCACAAGGAGCAGCAGGAGCGGCTCGCCGCCGGCCTGGAGGTGCTATGGGCGCCTGTCCTCCTCATCCACCTCGGCGGGCAGCACATGATGACCGCCTACAGCATCGAAGACAACGAGCTGTGGATGCGGAACACCGTCACCGTGGTGTCCCAAGTCGTGGTCGCCCTCTACGTCTTCTGCAAGTCCTGGTCCGGCTCCGGCGGGGAGAAAAGGCTACTGCAAGCCGCGATCTTGCTGTTCGTCGTTGGGATCTTGAGATCCATCCAGAAGCCATGGGCTCTGAGGAGCGCCAGCATCAGCAACATGGTCGCCGCTTTCTCCATGTCCACGAGGAAGGACCAAACCATCACGTCGTGCTGGAAAGCGATATGCGGTTGCACGTTGGAGTGGTATTTCGCTGGAAGCAAGACTAAAGAAGAAGCCCAAGAGAGGGACATCCCGCTTGAGGAATTTGTGCAAGAAGCAATCAAGAATTTACCAGAGCTGGCCAGTGGTGAAAAACAAGCAGAAATCCTCGGCAATCCGTCATTGAACGTAAATGTCTACAGGTCACTGGTAGACATATCGCCCCCATACTCTAGTCGGATAAAAAGCCTGCAGCTTTCAATGGGCCTTGATTACCAGCATGCAAATATGATTTCGACAAACATTCTTAACCAGATGTTTTTCTTGCTCTACACAAAGCTATTTGTGGTCATCGGTATGGATGTCTGCTGTTTGTTTCTCTGCCTTCCGTTCCTGACCTTGGCCTCAGCCATCCTCTTCTCCACAAACCACAAATATCATGACTACAAGGCAACAGATGTGAAGGTAACTTCCATCTTGTTTTGGTGTACCGCTCTGCTTGATTTCCTATCGGTCTTCCTCGGCCCTTGCATCATCGCCATAGCATCACCGGACAATGTGCCCCAGTATAACCTCCTGTCATTCTGTGCACGTAAGAAGCGGCCCACGGTTTTGATGAAGCTTGCCGCACTTGTCTTCTGCAAAGAATATGTTAACATGCATTGTTATACAGAGCACGCACCTAAACCATCCCTACTCCAAGTTACAGAGTTGGTTCATGGATATGTCAGGGATGGTTGGAAAGGATACATCCATGACGATGCCAGCTATAGGAGATTCAACAGCCGCAGAGGCCAGTGGGCGCTAAGGCATCGGCGTCATCTGCGGTGGAGCTTGAACATGTCATTCGATAGAAGCATCCTCATCTGGCACATCGCCACGGACCTCTGCTTTCACCACCAAAGCGCAACCCCTCTCGGCCAAGCCTGCGCCGTCCGAAGCAGGGTGATATCCAACTACATGGCTTACCTGCTCTTCCTTCGTCGAGAGATGCTTATGCCCGGGTCCAGGATCGGCACCTTCACCGTTGCCTATGAGGATGTCGAGCTCTTGCTAGGGGGCGAGCATGCGCTGGACGACGAAACAGGACTCGCGCACGGAATTCTTTTATGGGCGCAGGCGCCTCAGCCTCCCTTGTTAGACGACGCCAACATGGTAGGATCTTTGGTTCCCATGGCATGCAAGCTTGCGAAATCGTTGATGGAGCTGCGCGAAGTGGAGAGGTGGGAGGTGATCCAGGGGGTATGGGTGGAGATGCTGTGCTACTCTGCCGGTAGGTGCAGGGGGTACCTGCACGCCAAGAACATGGGTGAAGGTATGGAGCCGCTCTCTCATGTCTGGTTACTCTTGTCAATCATGGGGATGGAGACATTCGCCGACAGGTTTCAGAAACCGGAGCCTTCGGAAGGCCAAGATGATGGGGAAAGGCAAAGCCCCTGAGAACAAGATCAATATATTTGTATAAGTAACTAAAATTTGTATTTTGTGTTCTGGACCATATTTGAGTGTTCTTCTTAGTCGCAGTCGCGGTGCATGCCTTATGTATGGTTTTGAAGGCTTTGATGTTTGATTTAAATATGTATGGTCACTTGACCAATCGTTTAGTGCATAACAATAGCACAACTTTGAGTCTGCTGATACAAATCGTTCTATGTATTTGCGCCAGTTTTCAAAGAAAATATTGTTAGTCTAATCGGGCCCGGCTCCTCTGCAGTCGAACTATTACTGCACGAGTGTTGTAGGCATCCATATCAGCCGTTAATTCCAATCAGACCGCTCTTATTTTCTCACTTAATTCTCTAAATAATAAAGTTTTATGTGTTCCAATAAGTACTTCCACTGACACTGCACACGAGACGCTAACTGGACTTGAGAGCAAATAGACTGAGGGAGGGGCGAGAAGACGACCTTGCCGCCGGCGAGGGTTCGGCTTTCCGGCCAAACACACTCTCTCCCGTAGCAGCGGTCCGACGGCTGGACCTCCATGCCCGCGTGTTGCGCCGTGGCTGTGTCCCTGGCTTCCCAGGATCCGCCGCATGGCACCGTCCCCTGGGCTAACCGTCCGATACCGTGGACGGCAGCTACTTGGGTGCCCTTAACCCTCCCCAGGCTGTGCCGCCTCACACCCTCCACATCGACAGAAGCTGCCCGCTTCCTCCCACTGTTTGCAATGGGGATCTGCCGGACATGTGTCGTCGTCATCCAAGAAGGAGCGAGCTATTCCTCCCCCTCTTCGGTGTGTGGGTTTCCGCCGTGAAGGCGCTTCTGGAGCTCGCAAGAGGCACAGGTCATTGCGTGCTCGCTTCTACCTTATTACTAGATAGGGAGCGCGCCTTGGCGCGAGGGTGCCGGTCCTAACGTTTTGGTCAAGCAGTTGGAAACAATGCCATCCAAACATAGATAGTGATAGGGCCTTTGTCTTCGTTATTAATCAAAGAACATGTATTGTGCTTTTAGATGATCATCAATGAGAACTCCTACTTCCTCTTTCCATGTTCCAAGGAGAAGCTAATGCAGCTTGTAGTGACGGATACTTGAAAGCAAAGGATATGTAGCATCCTCGGGCTTCATTTTCCTAAGGATACTGTGAAAGCTCTAAAAAATCATTACAATGGGCTAATAAACCTAGGAAAGCTATACAATAGAAATGATGAAGTGGTGTTCTTAGCGAAAATAGGAACATATTTTTAGAGAACAAATATATATCAATCTATTTAATACATGTAATAGCAACTCCTTGTCTACACCATGAGGGCGATTAACGAATGCATTCCAGTCACTTTCAATATAAGGAAACGAAAAGTAGCAGTTCTGATAATTGACAGCAACAGGTAACCATCATAAGTTAGCTCATCACAAATGAAAGAGCTGATTGGAGCTCCAAGGACCAATATGTAGCTTTGTTGTCCCAGTTATAAAATATAATAATATCCGCTTCACTGGTACATGAATTATTTCTCTTATAGTGTGAAATATACCTCAACACAATTAGTATGCTATGGATCCCTTTATGGATATACTAATAAGACTCTAAAAAGGATAAATTACCTCATATAATCCTGACTTACTTGCAAACAATCTGTACTTATTTATTTATGGTCTTCATAATACAGTCAAGCTCTTGCTTTCCCTGGATTAGAAACAACAGTCACAACAGTCGGGCAGGACCACCACATGCACCAAAAAAGGTTAAACACACGCACAAAGGAATAAAGAAGGCACAGGGACCAGCCAAACCCCTTAACTTGTAAACTGAAAATCTCTATGTTCTCAACTGATGGTTGAGACAATCAACCACCAGTCCTTTTTGTTTATCCAACAAATATAAGATAGGACAGATTTGCAGGTAAGCACAAAGAGACCATATTATTCAACAACTTGTTGATTCAAATGCAATAGCACTGTCCTTGTCAGCACATTTAAAAATTACAGAGATCTTTATCAAGGATATACATGTGCATTTCATCTCCATTACAGTTTGAACATACAAAAAGAAGAAACAATGAATATCTGTAAGAAAGGACAACAAAATTAAGTGTTAAAAGAATGGGGTGGAAAAATAAAGAGAAGATGAGCTCACCAGCGGCTCCTAACAACTACGACATGCGTTGCCATACTAACAAACACTGGCTAGTATACCTTAGGGGTGTGCATATGTTACAACCTGCTACATAAACAATCTGAACTTGAACCTAACTTCTATTGAATGATTCAAAATGTGGTGCTGCATATATAATACGTAGTAGATACTGCTTTAACTAAAAACTAAACCTACAGCTCTCTGATGTCAGAGTAGCATGATTCAATTTGTAAATAAGAATGCGTGTGTCGCACTATTACATACAGGAAACACATGCATTCTCATTTACTATGAATATACTTGGAAGGAATAGTGTGTCCTTTCCAGAAGGAAAATACATCTCAAATACACTTCAGAACCACAGGTATTGGCATAGACACTAAACATACGTATCATGTTCACTACAAAGCATAAGATGAAGAGGAGCAGGATAAACTTCTATGTTACAGAAATGAGTGCAGACTGCATGCATTTATTCAATATAAAACCAAGGATACGCTGGACTTGAGGCCACAAAGCAGAAATAAACATGAAACAAAGACATAAGAAACCATAGCAAATCTTGACATGTGTATAACTTGCAAGACTCTGGGCATGAAGGCAAAACTCGCTAGTCACACGAGAGGAAATAAAACGACATTTTTCTGCCCCAACTCCTATTTGTGATCACCTCAAATGCCAAATACACTACAGCCAAGAAAGAAAACATTAACCAGCTAGAGAATATAAACACCTGTCTAATAGGAAATAATGTACTTTAATTGGAAAGATATTGCCACTCTCCAACATGGAAGAAAAACAAATAAATCTTATATGTGCACTGCCCTAGTTATGTTCTTAGCATATCTCTGGAATGAAATTTAGAACCAAGATGTCCAGATATAACAGAAGGTCAAACATAAGTCTTTATGAAATAATAACTAGATGCAAATATCAAACAGACAATATATGATCACCCTCATCTATATCTTACTTAAGAAAAAAGAGCAGATTGTGTGCCTAAGTTGAAACTGAAACTGTATGCTCAATATTTATGAAATTGCTAGCTCAATATGTGCCTAATCATATCTATCACATGCCTTTGTCAAAGAAACAGGGTAAGTAATCACACAGAATAGGAAAAATGCAAGGTATCATGATGATACTACTCCATAAAGCAAGTTTCGAGGCCCTAATTCCATTTTTGTAGCCGCCTGGACCAAAAAGGAAGAGCGCCTTTGTCGGTTCAAAACCGGCGGATCTCGGGTAGGGGGTCCCAAGCAGTGCGTCTTAGGATCAATGGTAACAGGAGGCAAGGGACACAATGTTTACCCAGGTTTGGGCCCTCTCGATGGAGGTAAAACCCTACTCCTGCTTGATTAATATTGATGATATAGGTAGTACAAGATTTGATCTACCACGAGATAAGAGAGGCTAAACCCTAGAAGCTAGCCTATGGTATGATTGTTGTTCTCTATCGACTAGCCTGGCCCTGGTTTATATAATGCACCAGAGGCCTAGGATAACAAGAGTCCTAGCCGAATACGCCGGTGGGGGAGGAGTCCTTGTCTTGATCGCCAAGTCTTGTGGATTCTTCCTTGTATGCGGCAGCTGTCCGGACTGGCCCATGAGTATACGGCCATGGGGGTCCTCGGCCCAATCCAACTGATCGGGAGACGACGCGTTGAGTACCCCCTAGTCCAGGACACCGTCAGTAGCCCCCTGAATCGGTCTTCAAGTTAGGGACGCTCCTCGATTCTTCTGAACTGTTCTTCATCTTCGGTTGCCGGTCTTGAAAACTGGTTCAACAAATCTTCTCATCTTCTATCTTGAGGATCGCCGAAATGCATTCGACGAGTTTACACGTCGGGTATCCGAGGAGTCCCTTTAAGTTTCCGGCCTTTATCAATGTCTTGTTATTTTTATGCCACACCTCGGGTTCGGAGTTGTTCCCGGGAGGCAGTGCCTCTTGCGTCTGAGCTCTAACGCCGGACTGCATTCAAGGTATCTCTTGTAGCCGAGCACCAATGCCGGACTGCTTCCCGTCTCTAACGCCGGAATGTATCCGAGCTCTAACACCAGACTATGTATCCGAGCTCCAACGCCGGACTGTATCCGAGCTCCAACGCCGGACTATGTATCCGAGCTCCAACGCCGGACTGTATCCGAGGTGTCGTAAATCACCTTGGTTCAAAGAAGTTTGAAGGAGTTTAGCCGAGCTTAATGCCGGAAATGCCCTCTATGGAGCCAGCCACTAGCGCCCGAGCTTTATGCCGGACTGCTTCCGAGGTGGTGCACCTCCCCGAATGTGGGCCGATTTTTATCAATATTTTTGATTGGTGCAATTTATTCTCTATCGAGATACATAGCCAGTAGCCCTCAAGGTGGGTATCGGTCTAAAAGCCGAGATGCACATGAAGGATGACATAAGACCGCTGATCCCCGTAGCCGCTGAGACTCGGGTTCATTTGCAAAATTGGTCTGAGGATCAAGTCCTAGCTCGGCAGAATACTTCGGGACACAAAAAGCGGCGTGCTCAGTCCTCGAGACTCAGCTTGGGTGCGGCCGACCAACCCGAGGATCAAAATCTCCTCGGAAACTGTATTGCACTTAAAATTTTCTGCATAGAACAGGCAATCCAGTAGCCCCCGAGACACTGGTCAGGTGGCAACACTAGATAAGGGGATCGATGTGCCCCTTTAATATTTGTAAATAATAATCCCGAAGCCCAGTAGCCCCCGAGCATTAATGCGGGCACGGGAGGCCAAATTAAGGATCGATATCCATAGTAAAATCACAAATTATGTGTAATGACTCTATGTATCCAAGTACTTTACGTCATTAATGCTCGGATCCGCATTGTACAAAACTTTGTTGACCG